AAACGGCCAATGAAATCGTCACACGCTGCCCAAATGTTACTGGGCGGTATTTTGGTTCATTCACGGCGAAGCGCTTGCTTGAGGTGATCGACATTTTGGTATTTTTTAGTGTCAACTTTGCTTTCCAAAATACTCCAGACACAATAGTCCAACGGATTGGAATCCGGAGATTTTGGTGGTCATTGTGCCCATTCTTGGGTGGCGCGTGCTGAGTGCGATGGTGCTGAGAATGTCAAAGTCTGCGGCCAAAATATTTGCGTGCGCAAGGCTTTAATACACCCTCCAGAATATTGTCGCGATAATATTCGGCATTTGTTCTGATGCCACGGTCGATTAATACGAGCGGAGGGCGACCATCGGCTGTTATAACGACCCACACAATCACCATGGCCGGTGATTGAGTTCTGGTGGCCAACACAAGTAAACACGTTCATTTTGTTTGTTTACAACTGCTGGACAACGAATGTTTTCTCATCGGAGAAAACCAAATTCGGCATTTCACCACTTTCTGCAAGCGAAGCAACTCTTTCTTTTCTTTCTGTTTCGGTGTAAGTTCTTGTCCTTTTTCGGAATTTCAATGGCTTTACCCCTAGCTCATTTTTTCATATTTGCAGAATGGAATATTGCGATATGTTCAGCTCCATTTCTGCTGATGTTGCAGTTATCTTCCGTCCACTTCCTTGACGTCAGGCTACGGTATGTATGTTTTATTGTAACATAGCGGACACCTTAATAGGATTTTCACTATTTTTTATCGATTAAATGCACACCCCAAATGCTCTGGAATACGTTTTTAAGTCCATATGTATCATATCTGTTGATTTTCTCCACAGTTTAAAGCTATTTTTTGCGATATCAGAATAACATTATTCTGTAAATTTGCTAATGCATTTTTGCCCTGATAGAGACATTAAAATTCAATATGCATTTTACCTAATCTTTACAGTTTTATGTCTTTGGAACAAAACTTCAGCTTGAGGTTTTAAGCTCTCTGCAGTAACTTTGGTAGATTTGGAAGACTTACACTAGGAAACTATCCTCATTGAGATCAACGAGGTTTCATTAATACGACCTAAACGTTTATCAATGGGGATATAACAGTATTTTAGAAGTTTATAACGTTTTATACTCTTTCTACGTTTTATACAGGTATATGACGTTTATAACTTTTCGACAGTCGGAAACCTAAAAAACTGTCACACAGACCATCTCTGAATGGAAATATTTTATTTGTCAGCAATTTGTAAAACCAGAAAACATTCATTGGGGATCTCATGTAGTAGTAGTACTCTTGATCAAAGAAAATTCTATGACGACTTAAGTCCGTCCGTCTGTCTATCCGCCCGTCTGTTAAAATTACTATATTGGTATATTTACATCAAAGATAATTGCTGTTGAAACATTGGCCCAGTTTAGGTATAGGCCCTAAATAATGATAGCACCTGATATTCGTAATTTATCATGCCTCCGCCACAATTTTCGGTAGAAGTGCTAAAAATCTATGTACTCTGAAATCTTTTCCAGCAATAATAGTTTCATATTGGTTCTCTGTTAGGAATAGCCCCCATATAACGGTACCTGAAGACTTTTAAAGCTTTGAGAAGCATAGAAGCAGAGGATATAAATCCACCATTTGTTACGTCCTCCATATAAGGATATATATAGATGATTTCCTGCTTCTAGTTCAATTTCCGAACGAATAGGTTTTAATGTACCAATATGTTTTCGAATTGGTTGGAGATATGTCATATGGCAATAGTAGACCCGCGATTGTTTTTAAGCCTAATATAGCTATGTTTGTCTGCTTAAGAGCGAAGTCACACTTACCATCCTATGGCGTTTTAAATTGGTTTTGCAGTTTCTCAATGAGAATTGAATATTAAGCATTACAAGATTTATAATTCATTATGTTATTGATCGACAAACGAATAAGTGAGTTGGGGATGTGATACTTTATGGATACGAAAAGAGGAAGAACTTAGTAATTTGACATGGTGGTCACACTTTGTGAGAATGTGTCATTAATGAATCATATAGACGTACTCGTTCGACATTTTCTCCTTACGTAATTAGTGTAATGAAGACTGTATATATTGATATAGGGCATTGTAGCCCATACTAGCCAATTCCTGCTATTTTAATTGACCTAGTATGTTGTCTTATGTCCAGCGTTACCAATAACCTCTATAACCAACAACATATAATGTATTTCCACATTTGCTATGTCATATGGTCAGACGGCAATGCCACATTTACGGTAAATATGTCGTGTAACATTTCACGTTAAATGCCGTCATTTGGTGGTATCTCTTGACATGATCTTGGCATGCAATTGCTGTATACGATTCACAGTTTGAGCGGAAAAATTCGACCAGAGGATATTTGTTGCGCCAAAGTGAAGTGTGAACAAACGTTTATTCAGTTATCCGAAATGCCTAACATACTGGAATACCGAAAAATCGAGATTATATGTGTCAGTTGGCATATCAACTACTTATGGGTAAATAGAAAAAAAAAACAGACAGACGGACAAACAGCCAGCCAGCTAGAAAACCAACTTAACAAACTAAACTCTAGTGGTCTGTCAGAGTCTGTTAGTTTAGTCCGAGGCGATTCTCACGAGTTTTGGTTCTACCAGCAGAAACAAAACACAACGAAAAAAATACCACCAACCAAACCAAAAAAAAAAACGATCTTGGAAATCTAAGTGCAACCAGTCGAGATGGTGTTACTCTGATCACTTCAATCTAAGACACAGTTGAAAACTACGTCTCCTCTGTATGTACGTACGTACATATGAATGTCGAATTGTTGCCTTGCCTCTGCGGTAAAGGCTAGAGAATAAAATGGAAGTGCATCAGTACCAGTTTTCATACAACATTTGCCAAACAACACCAGAAACGTGTGTTTGCAATTTGTAACGAATACCCGGCAGCAGCAACAGCATCGTCAGTGGCCACATTATTCCATTCTTTGGATGTTTGACGATTCTGTTGCTGCTGCCACTTCTTTATCTTTTGTTGTTCCGTCGAGTCTGACTGGCATTGAACTGGTCTTGATGTTTATCTCTGAACTTAATGCGCAGACACAAATCCACAAAAATGAAGAAAAAAAAGAAATGAAACGAAACAAAATGTCTTCAAATGAAATGCGTCTTTTTTCTGATTTGGAAATTCTAGTTAGCGGAGCGGTGGAAAATTAACCCATTGCGAGATGTATGTGGCTCAAGCTAGAGACTTTAATTATTATAATAGATTTAATTATTTTAGCAGATAAGTGCAATCTCAAAGTTCGCAAAAGAGCTTTAGTTTGTTATAGCTTCTGGGGACTATTTACTTCTCAACCAGAGTAACAAAATCAAATCTCCACAGCTACGCCTTCCATTCTTTTCAGCTCCCTGAATCACTCAGACTCCCTGATCGGGGCCATTTCCATACAGACTCCCTGGTCGGGACCAGTTCGTCAATACAGACTGTCTGTCCGGGCCAAGTTCGTCAATAGAGGCTCTACGACCCGGGACAGTCCGTCTATAGAGACTCTCTAACCAGGGTCAGTCCATGTACAGACTCCCAGTCCCGACATGTCAGCTCATCTATAGAGACTCCCAGTCCCGACATGTCAGCTCGTCTATAGAGACTCCCAGACCTGACATGTCAGCTTGTCTATAGAGACTCCCAGACCTGACATGTCAGCTCGTCTATAGAGACTCCCAGACCCGACATGTCAGCTCGTTTATAGAGACTCCCAGACCCGACATGTCAGCTCGTCTATAGAGACTCCCAGACCCGACGTGTCAGCTTGTCTATAGAGACTCCCAGACCCGACGTGTCAGCTTGTCTATAGAGACTCCCAGACCCGACATGTCAGCTCGTCTATAGAGACTCCCAGTCCCGACATGTCAGCTCGTCTATAGAGACTCCCAGACCCGACATGTCAGCTCGTATATAGAGCCTCCCAGACCCGACATGTCAGGTCGTATATAGAGACTCCCAGACCCGACATATCAGTTCGTCTATAGAGACTCCCATTCCCGACATGTCAGCTAGTATATAGAGACTCCCAGCCCGACATGTCAGCTCGTCTATAGAGACTCCCAGACTCGACATGTCAGCTCGTCTATAGGGACTCTAAGACCCGACATGTCAGCTCATTTATAGAGACTCTCAGACCTGTAACTGCTCTCTGTCCTGGCAGCCTGACCTGTCAACTCTTTTAGAAAGACTCCCTGACTCGTCTGATCGCCTAGTATAACCCTTCTTTACACTTCAGTATACCTATACCTTTTTCAGATGTACTTCAAATAATTTACATTTTAATTAATTGCTTCTATTTGTAATTTACAACAAATTTATTTTTCATTTACAAACTTACAACAACGGGCCAAAAGGGATCCTCTAGGATTTAAGTAAGTAAAGTTATTCATACCTTTTCAGGGTATGCTACGCATGGATTTTTTCAGGAAGCCTCCAGTCAGAAGATTTGTTTGAAGTGTTATGATGGTTATGTATATAAGCCGTTTCAGAGGCATTGTCTTGAGGGTGTTCGAAATATATGACTTTCCAAAGATATTTTATGTATGGACGACTTTCAAGTAGTCTCGGACGACTTTCAAATTGTCTCGTACATATATGACATTTCAGAAGACCTTAAGTAGGTCATCTGCACCTAGACTACCTTTTAGTGGATTTCTGCCTAAGAAAACATTCCAAAGTTTTTTCAGTGGAGACTTCGTAGGTTTGAGGGAACTTTTAAAAGTTTTCTCGATACTAAACCCCTGAGAGGTCTTGATATGTACTATCGTTTCTTAAATTCGACTCTCTCCTGATGGGTTAAAAAACAATTTGTTCTGCCCAAAAGTCATCAACAAATTGGAAGCGAAGCTCTTTTAGGAACTCCATTACTTTGGAGATTTCTTTACAACTTTCCATTTAAACTCAACAAATTGGAAATAGAAAATAATTATAGAAATGGCATAGAAAAGTAGCAGAAAACTTGTTTACCTTTTTTCCGTTAGCATCCTTTAATTCTGTTGTTGTTGAATCATCGCTGGATGAATGGGCCTGTTCCTGCAACGTCTTTAGGAAGTTCTTTTTATCCAGAAATGAGTTGGCTGATAATGATGTCGACGACGATGATGACGATGGAAGGGCATTGGGTGATCCACTGCCGGATGATGGTTTCGGGTTCGCATAATAGTACATATTTGGTGGTAATTTTATAATGAACATGTGTGAGTCATCGGGCGAGGCATGGCGTCGTGATTCAATGGCCAAACGTTTCCGGTTATGACTGTTTGGTGCTTTGACTTTGGTAAAGCCCAATTTGCTGAAATGCCAACACAAAAAGACAGAAAAAGCACATCAGAAAATAAGTATAACAAAGAAAATAAGGGAAAATTGGCAAAAAATCAAAAAGTGTATAAATCACCCACTTTCCTGCGAAGTAATGAGCGCAGAAAAACGTGATTAGTTAGTGGTAAATTTCGTTGTCCATAGATCCCAGATTTTCTTTCAAAACATCAATCATATCATCATGGCCATTGAGGAATAGTCAATTTTCACAACTAACAGACCAATTCATCAAAAACAACATCTAGTTTGGGAAAATGGAATATTTTCCAGTTGTTATAATTTGCCAGAGCATGCTTATTTCGTCTTCGTCGTCGTCTTCTTTATAAATTATTTGTCTGATTATGAATGAGAGTTTTCCAACAACATGAAAACACGTTTTTCTTTCAACCGCTGTGAAAGACAAAAATTATGGCCAAAACTGACCATAATTTTACTAACAAATAATTGGAATTGCAGTCATTATCCTAACGTTGTGAAATATGAAACGACGGCCTGTTTGCTTTGTTAATTGAAATTATTTTAATTAAACTTTTCGTATGTGTGACATGTCATTGTATATGTTATGGAATCGTATATTCTAAAAATGTATGATAAGTTGCTTAAGTCAATAACGGTCTATGTCATACATCAATTTTATGCATAATATCATCAATTTTATTAAAGTATTCATATCAAATTCATATCAAAGAATTTAACAAATTATTATTAAATCACTGTTACTGTAGAGGGGTGAAAAAAAGATTATACGTATTACCAGTGGGAGGAAAAAAAGGGTTATTACTTAAAAATAAGTAAACCAGTAAGAAAATCTCAAATCATATAGTCGGTCCCGCCTAACTACTACATCACTATGCATATTTAGTAGAGCTCTCGTAAAAGAAAGGTTTATATTGGGCATTTCTGAGCTCTATGAGATATCTGGCAGAAAATATTATTATGGTAGAGTGCATGTTCCGAAAGTTAGAAATTTAAACGCCAAATCGGATGAAACATATAGGGTAAGTGTTCCTATGTTCGGCATGTCCCAGTAGTCGGCACTTTTTATTTTTAAGTCCAAATAAATGAAACTATTATAACTAAATGTATTTTGTTTACTTCAAATATATTGTCAGCTATCTTTGTGCACAATTTCGCTAAGAAAAGATGATTTATTCTAATAAAAATTAAACTTTTGTCTGTGAAGATCTTGAATAATTCATATTCTTAAGAAAAGTACAATAAAGACGTCGAAACAAAAATATTTTATTTTAATGAATTAATTTATTATTATTATTAATTATTCTTACAAAAAAATTGGTATGCCGACTATTGGAACATCCCATACCGGCAATTGGCAAGTGGTGCCGACTACTGGCAAAAAAGCGTTTTTTTAATAAAACTACAAATTTATGAAATTTAATAAAAAGCTATTAAAACTTTATTTATTACTAGCTGGCCCAGTCCGCGTTGCCGGCCCGTAGTTTTTGTCTTTAATGCATAGTTTTTAAAGCATAATAATTCACAGATCTGGCTCAAATAAGTGGCATAATTTATAGTAAAAATGATGATTCGACTAAAAAGAAATAAATACGCATCGCATAAATGTCAATACAGGTTCACGTACCGGACGACTTATAGTGTTTTTAAAAACCTTTTTAAAAACCTGATGCCATTTTTCAGAGGTTTTAATTTGACAGTTAAAAACCTAAATAACATAGCACATATATGAAAAAGTATACATCAACTACCCCAACGTATTCTAAACATACATTTTAAGCGAAATCGATTCGAAAATATATTTTGAGTTCTCATTGGTGGATTATTTCTATATCTAACCATTTTTTTTTTTTTTTTTTTGAATTTTGGACCTCAGAATCGATAGTTATTTCTAAATTGAAATCCTGGCAATATGACTTTAATTTAAAGTTTCATCGGTTTATAAAAGTTAGGGACCCCATAAAGAATGTTAAAGCGTAGAAATCTTTGTCGATTAAATTATGTCCGTGAGCTTTGAGAAGTATTTCTTAATCAAAATTGACAATTTTAGTATGGCAACCATATAACAGCATCTATAGAAAATATGCCAAATTTCTCATTTTTTTTTCGGTTGTTTTTTTTTTTCAATAAAAATTTTCAATTCCAAAAGACATTCTAAAACAATTCTACAAACAATTCCATATCAAAATAGAACAATAAATTTTTTCAGTTCCGCGACTTTTCCGGAGGCTTTTCTCAAAATTTTTTTCATGAAAATGTTTCCATTAGTTTCGGTCCAACCGTTCTTTACTGATGTTTTACTATACTTATTTAAATTTTTTACATATAGATTTAAAGAAGTAGGTGTGGCCAGTTCCTCTGACCCCAAGTCAAGATTACGTCGTATACTAACAGTGGAACAGATATCTTCATGATTGGCAAATATATTGACAAATATTTAAGATTTTAGGTAAATCGAAAAAAATGGTCGTAAAATTGGACGTAGTCACTTTTTCTTTGCATAAAACCTAAGTCGTGGTAGGACGAACATTTAAAAAAATCCAAATCGTTCCCGTCGTTTTCAACAGATTCTTACCAAAAAAAATTGACTTTTTTGTATATATAGATAGATTAAAAAGTAGGCGTGGTCAGGTCCTCAGCCCCAAAATAAATACTTAGGGTTTGAGGGAAAGTCAACAGTATCTCGTGTAATAATATCGATATCTTCATTATTTGGCAAATATAAGGATTTTAGATAAATCGAAATAGTGGGCGTAAAAGTAGGCGTGGTCAATTTTTTGTTCTTTAAAAACCTAACTCGGGATATGACGAACGTTTGTACAAAAAATTATGCAAATAGGTTCAGCCGTTCTCAACTGATTCCATTGCCAACGAACAACAATAGATTTTTATATACATATAGATTGCAAAAACTATACAAAATTTCGAATCTGAATAAATTAACTTTGTAATAATTGAAATGTTCCACTCAGAATGGTGAGCGATTAAAAACGCGAAAATCCTAAAAGTGCCGACTACTGGTACACTTACCCTATATGGGACCAAATTTGAAATTCTTACTTCTATGCTGAATTCGGTTGAAGTGCGAAAATTCATTTACCAAAATCTGAACCGATCTTTATAAAATTGAAAACAGCCATTTCTTGGCTGTATCTGATATCTGGTACAAAGTATTATTCTTCTATCGTGCATTTGAGGGACTTAAACACCAAATCGGATGAAACAAAAATATATGGGATATATAGCTATATCTGAACCGATTTTTGATGTATTTGCTTCTAGGCTAAACTTGGCCGAATGTGCCAAACTTCAGCCTGTTTGGGCTGATATTGGCCATTTGGTGCTCAATTAACCCGAGATCGGCCAAAGTTATAAAGGGGAGCTAAATCCAAATCTGAACCGATCTTGATAAAATTTAAATCATGTATTGCTGGGCTGAATCTAATATCTGGTACTAAATATCATTTTTGTGGGGTGTATACTACGAATATGAAGGACTTAATAACCAAATCGGATGAAACATATATATGGGAGCTATAGCTGTATCTGAACCGATTTCCACACCATTTGTACTGGTATTAGCCGTTTGGTGCACAAGAAACCTAAAATCGGATAAAGATATATATTTGGGACCGATTTTCACCAATTTCAATAGGGTTCGTCCTTGAGCCAAACAAATGTTATTTAGAAAATTTCATCTCAATCGAATAATAAATGCGACCTACATTTTGTTTACAAAAATACATGGACAGACGGACGGACATACATAAATCGACTCAAAATGTGATTCTATGCTTATCACCAAAAGGAACTATGGGTCTATCTCGTTTCCTTCTCCATGTTACAAATAAATGCACAAAGACATAATACCCTTACTACTATGTGGTGTAGGGTATAAAAACATTAAGTCCGGCCAGGCCTCATCATTGGGTAAAGAAAACATTTTTATATAAAACGTATTCCACTTTAAACTACAAACACCAGCAAGACCGTTTGGATAACACCGTTAAACTTTTCAAAAACCATAAAGTGCGTGAGGGCGTTATATGGGGGCCATACCAAAATGGGAACCTCTACCTCGGTACCTCGAAAGGTACAGTTGTATGGGGGCTATAAAGAAACGTGAACCTATACTTTCAATGTTTCGCCACCGGAGCTAGAACCCATTATGACCTACAAATACAAATTTTATGGACAAATCCGTTGAAAAATGTGGCAAAAATCAACAAAATACGTGGTACCGTTGAATGGGAGCTATACAAAAACGTGGACCTGTACATACAATGTTTCGCCACCGGAGCTAGAACCCATTATGACCCACAATTACCATTTGAGACAGGCAGACAGACGGATATCGATAAATCGACTTAGAATTTTATGCTGATCATGAATATATATGCTTTATGGGTTATACGACGAATATTTAGGTATGTTACAAACGAAATGACAAAGTTAATATACCCTCTTTTTCAAGGTGGAGGGTATATTAAAAGGTAAAGAGAGTAACTCTCCTCCTAACAAATATGTCAATGCTTCTTCTTTAAAAGAGTTAGAATGAAACCAGTAAAGAAAGTCTTAAAGTCGGGCGGGCCGACTTTATGATACCCTACACCACTTTGCTAATTTAGTAGAGCTCCACATAACAATTAAAAGTTTTTATGGGAGAATTCAATCATACACGCTATGATTATAATTATAATTTAAAGTTCAAAGGATTAAATATGCCGAAGCATTTGTATCTTTTAAATTCGGACTTGTATTGCCCATTTGGTGCAAAATTAATTTGAAATCAGATAAAGATATATATGGGAGCTATATCCAAATCTGAACTGATCTCGATATAATTTGGCAAAGATATTTCTGAGCTGTATTTGATATATTTCCTTGAATATCGTTGTTACGGAGTACATATTACGGTTGTGGGTAACAAATATAACAAATCGGATGAATAGTATATATGGAAGCTATAGCTATATCTGAACCGATCTTTACCAAATTTGATACACTAGCTTTGGTGCACAATAAAAGGTAAATCGGACGATGTTATATATGGGAGCTATATCCAAATCTGAACCGATCTCGATAAAATTTGGCAAAGATATTTCTGAGCTGTATTTGATATATTTCCCCAAATATTGTTGTTGCAGAGTGCATATTACGGCTGCGAGGGACAAAAATAACAAATCGGATGAACAATGTATATAGGAGCTATAGCTATATCTGAACCGATTTCGATCAAATTTGGCATACTTATTTTTAGGCCTAATTTGGATCTATATACAAAATTCCATACTATTCGGGCAGATATTATACGTTTGGTACACAATAAAAGGCAAATCGGACGAAAATATATATCGGAGCTATATCTAAGTTTTGATCGATTATCTCCAATTTCAATAGGGTTCGTCCTTGGGCCAAGCAAATGATCTGTGCAAATTTTCATCTGGATCGGGCAATAAATGCGACCTGTACTTTGTTTACAAAAATACATGGACAGACGGACGGACGGACTGTCATGCATAAATCGACGCAGAATGTGATTCTATGCAGATCATCAAAAGGAACTATGGGTCTATCTCGTTTCCTTTTGCCTGTTACAAACAAATGCACAAAGACATGATACCCTGACCACCTTGTGGTGTAGGGTATAAATATTAAATCCAAAATTACTATTCTTGCATTAAAATCATACACGTTCTTTTCTGTAACAAAAAACGATACGTCCCAATAACGCATTTTAGGCGCTGGGACAATACAAATACTTCTGAGGGGAAGGAACCCTAACCCTAGGACAACACCAACTAGGGCTTAAGAGATAATATTATACATACACCCAAAATATATTCAGATACGATATGAAGAGGCCCTGGCGGCTATAAGGCTTAGGGCGACGACGAGTGGATAAATAAAGGACATTTAAATGCCATAAAGGCCATATCAATGCCAAAAAAGCCATCAAAAAATGTTCAGGTAACAACTGGAGAATTTGTATAGGATCGGATACCTAAAATAGTTGTAGCTGCCTCATGTGAAACATTAATTCCCACCAGAGACTCGTGGATCGACGGATTTCTATCAGAAATGCCGACTGGAAAATTTTGTTATATAAACGGCTCAGTGCTAGGGGAGAACGGGACTGGGACTTTTCATTGAAGAACCATATACCATAATCTTTTTCCGCTTGCCCGAGCATAATGCGATCCAGAGTGTCTGAACTGATATGAGACCGGCTACCGTAAACGTCCTAACGGACAGTAAATTCAAAAACTGCATTGGAATGTATAAATTCAATCAATTACAATTCCCAACGTTGTTTCGTTTTGTACTTCGAGAAAATACAGAACGAAACGATTGCAAACGTTTGGTATAGTTTATTTTCGTACGCTGCTCCAAAGGTATAGTATTGTGTTTCGGGAACATTCGTAATTCACTGTATCGTTAGAACAATATAAAAAAGCTCTTTTTGAATTCCACAAAATAATTATTTGAAACTGAAATTCCTTTTCTAAATGATTGCAAACCCTTGTTATGAAATAACAAAAGAACAGTCAAAATAATTAATTGAAAAGAAAAATAACAACAAAACATATATTCTTCACTTGTTTTGTTTTCTTTTTTTAATGGATGTTTGTTATGGGAACACTTAATGACAGCCTTGACTTATTTTCATGGTTGGGAGCTATACAACGACAAACAATTGCAGATCTGCAGATCAATGAACGTGTGTTTCTGATTGAATGATTAATGATTGAAGGAATAACCATTAGCCATTGAGTCCAGTCAAAAATAATTATGTGGGAATTTGTCAAAATGCCTCCAACCAACGCCAACTAGCCAAAGTTTAAATGTCAATGATGAAGTCTGTTTTTGTTTTTTCATCAAACGAACAAAGCTAAGAGAAAATAATACATTCGACTTCCCTTTACCTTACAATTTAATAGGAAATTCAATTAAAAACAGCAGTCTACTCACTTTAATAGCTTCTTATTTAAGCTATGGGAATTTTTTCCCATGCCTTTCACTTTCTTTCCCTTCGTTTTGCCAGCTGGACGAGAATCACCTGACATTGCCATTTTATCCTTGATGATAGCCTTTGATTCGTCTGCATAATGGCCATGGTCCTGTTGGATAAGAGTTGATTGTTGCTTTTGCTGTTCTTCATGTCCTTCTATTCGTTGTTTTTGTTGTTTGCGTAATTTTGGTTTATCCTTTGACAGATTCAGTCTTTTAATTCGGTAAATGTTTGACTGTGGTGATGTTGATGCGGCTGCTGTTGCTGTTGTTGTCGTTGTAAGTGGCAGTGTTACAATTGTCGATGATGACGAGGAAGACGATGGATCCTTTCTTATGCCTTGTTCTTGCTCTGTTTGTGTTCTTGTTAATTGTGTCTTTTCACCTTCCACATTTGTTGGCCAGCTCAGAAGGCAAAGGACACTGCAAATAGATTGAAAAATAGAAAGAGGAAGAAAGATCGTAATTTATTTAATGTTTACATTTCAAGTCGAATATGAAGTGTATTTAATTTGTTTAATGACGAATTTAAAGACATGATTAGGGTAATTTAATGCTCTTGCAATTGAAGTTTTTATACCCTACAGTACTATGTGTTGGGGATATTATAAGTTTGATTGGGCCAGAATTTATGTAACACCTCGAAATATTGGTTTCCCATATAGGTATGTATGTATGGATCTTCCTAGCCCGCCGAGCTGAGTCGATCTAGCTATGTATGTCCCTCCGTCCGTCTGTCCATGTTAATTTGTAATCACGCTACAGGTCGCAATTATGGCCCGATCCTTACGAAATTTTGCACGAAGGTGGGGTTAGGGTCAGAATAGAAGCCTATTTCTTTTGGAGATGATCGCCAAATGTTTAGGGGTTGAAATGGACCAAATACTGAAAAAATGTCGGATTTTGCAGTAGCTATACAGGTCGCAATTATAGACCAATCGAATCAGAATTTCGCATGTAGTTAGAGTTTAAGGTGGGGAATCGGATAATATTTAGCGGGTAAAATAGACCATATCTTTTGTGTTGAAAAAATTCAAAATTTTTCATTAAACCGCGAATATTTTAAAGCCCGTCGAAATCACAAAGCCATGACAAGGTTACTTCTGACCTTTACATTGATGTTAACATCCAACAAATCGGATATATAGCAAAATATGTGCGATATATACTTATGTATGTATATGCTTGAAAGATCTCTTATATGTCGAGAACGGCTGAACTGATTTCGATAGTTCTCATTAATTCAGAATTGCCTCTTGCAAGGAATGAAAAAACGTCTAAAAAATCGCATAAAAATAAAGATGAAAATATTGATTTTGTAACAATTTCTCATATTTTTTCCATTTTGTCATATTTTCATTTTGAATTGAACATTTGGTAATATTTCTACAGCTAACAAAACTAAGTAGTTAGGATATCAGTATATCATATACAGATCGCATTTATGCCCCGATCCTAACGAAATTTTGCATGGGGATAAGATGAGGGTCAGAATAGAAGCCTACTCTTTTTGGAGATGATCGCCATATATTTAGGGATTGAAATGGACCAAAAAACTGCAAAATTGTCAGCAGGTCGTAATTATCGGCGGTCCTCACGCACATTTTAATGGGGGTTACCAGACATTGCAAAAGACAAGCAGTTTTGGATGGCCATCCAAAAATATTCAATGTGTGAAATAGTTTGCCAACTTTTGTAGACAAAATAAGAAAATGTCCATTCCAGTGACTCTTTGGAGAATTCACAAATACAGGAAAGACACACTTCTGACTATTTCGTTAACGCTGATTTCGTTGAAGAATATAGTCAAATGACTGTATCTCATATAGATGCGTTTCAGTCAAAAACCAATAATAAATGTTAATCTTTTGCCACTTCTGAGAGATTTTAGGTCTTTGGGAAATATTGGTTCCAGATCTAGGAAGACCATTTACGTGCAACATCTTGCAATAAATTGGAAATGAGCAAATTAGTTAAAGTTGCTATTATTCGAAAATTAGAGAACGAAACCTTATGGTTTTCTTTTATTATTTGTCACAATATCTTGTGGAATTCTTTCGAGTATCTCGCCTGTATAAACTGTATCGTTTATTATAGTGTTGTAGGGTATTCAACGGTCGGCCCCGCTCGACTGTAGCCTTTGCTTACTTGTTTGATAATATATTGGAATTAAGAAATGTATGAAGGCCCTTAAGTGTTCAAAAATACTGTGTAAATATATGAACCATTGGCTAGGGCCTATATTTATTATGCTAAGAAGCATGGTGCAATAAAATCAAGGTAGGGCTATGATACCATATTTACTTTTTTATTTACTTTTTTGACTTAATTTGTCAACTTTATTTGTTTATGTGTGTGCATTCTTTGCAATAATTGTTGTTGTTCTGAAAACATTCAAATTCAGGTGTTTCCAAAATGCTTATTGCAACGTATGCATCAACAAAATCTACAGTTTTTGTAGCAAAATAAACTTTTAGAGATATATAGAACATGATTTTGAGAAGAGGTTTTGACCTTTCATTCAGTTTTCGCTGTTTTCAATTATTCATTCAAAATCAATGCAACAAATTGTTTGGTTTTTTGATTGTTTTGATAGTAATTCTGACACTGCAAGCCAAACAGGTAGATATGTATGTTTGCAAATAACATTACTATAGAGTGCATTATATTACTTCGAGAAAGATTATATTAAAGTTTAACAAAATTGAAAAATTTAGTAGAATGGGCAAAAGTCCATTTATTTTATGGACGAACATATACAGGATGAGATAAAAAACTGCAATAAAGTCAGACGCCCTAATTTTTAGATTTTTTAATTCTACCGAATGAAAGCAAGCGGAAATAGCATCAAATTTTAGAATAACTTTAGTTTCGTTCGAATTGGTCACCTTTGGCACGAATTATGGCCTTCAAACGGCCAATGAAAACTTCACACGCTGCCCGAATGCCCGACGAAGCGCTTGCTTGAGTGGCCATTGTGCGCTGGAAATGAAGCGAGGAACCTCATTTCTTGGGTGGAGCATGTTGAGTGCGATGGTGCTGAGTCCTGTTGGAATGTTTTCGCGATAACATTCGGTATTTATTCTGATGCCACGATTGATTAAACCGAGCGAAGAGAGGCCTTCGGCTGTTATGGCCGGAGCTTGAGTTCTGGTGGTCAACCGAGGGTGAACATTTTCAGCTTTTTTGTTGCATTAAATACATGAAATCTTACACATGAGACCTATATCCAAATCTGAACCAATTTCAATATTATTTGGAAAATATATTTTTAGACCAAATTCCATCAAACATTCCAAATGGGATTGAAATTGGAGATACATAGCGTGTTTGATTCATTAAATAAACGAAATCTGTCGAAATTATATATGGGAGCTATATCTAAATCTGAAGCAATTTCAATATAATTTGGCAAATTTATTTTTGTTCCAAATTCCGTTACGCATTCCAACTTTTAAGATCATAGATATGTGGATATAAAATCTAAATTTTTTGTAAGTGAAATAAAACGCAAATTCAACTCTGTTGTTCTAAAAAACGGACCCTTAACCTATTTATTTGATCTTGATGACTGTTTGGTAAGGACTTATTTCCAATGAGATATTCGTGTTGAAATGAGGTATTAGGATGTTATTTTATAAATAGTTACCAGTACCAAAAAGTGTACTCAATGAATATATTATGCTGCGATGTCATTTTTTGCCTTGATGAAATAGTGATGAAGGTAATCGCATAGTTGCTTCTCATGTCAAAGTTCTTTCGAAAAATACACCAAAAAGGCAAGAATGTCCGAAAAAAATTCCCATTGATATTTTCTAAAAATACATGTAGTGCCAAAAAAACCCATAATGATAAGCAAATAGCGATCAATAGAAAGTTTATCCAAACAATATAACCCTTAAGAAAATAACGAACAGAACTAGTCCTGAGTAATGATTACGATTTGAATTTCTACAATGCCTGCCAAAACAATTAGAAATCCACTTATGTGTCCAATTCAATGTTTTGAGAACATTTTGCATACACTGAAGTAAAATACCTGCCAAAGAGAAAAAACCTGAACGGAATTGTATCACATAAACAATATCTGTTCCAATTTAGATACATTGTAACCTAGCTTTGAGCTCCATTTCCCGTTATGAGTGGTTCGCTTTGTTTTCATTTGCGAAAAAATAAAAACATAAAGAAAAACAATGAATTGTAGTTTGCAAGAAAGAAACGACTACAACAAAAGCAAGTACTTTAAGCGTATAATCATATCATATATGACCATCTTTGAATCTACATTCGTAACTACGGTATTCATAAGCGTCTGGCGGTTTACTACGATGTCCGATTGTAGGTTTCTATGTACGGGGGCATGAATGGAAAAATACTTCAATGTTTGGTTAAGCGTGAAAATGGAACACCTTGAGTGGACCATAACATTAGACAACGTCGTCGTAGTACACAGACGGACAGACAAAACAATAACAAGCCTAAATATGATACTACGGTGAGGTGGGGGTGGTGGTGGCGTTGTTAATGTTGTTGCCAGCTCCAAGCAACAATAAATGGTTTGTTACTTTGGATACAATGCAGACAATAACCCAAGACCACTTTGAAATATAACTAAACAGACCCTATTCATAGAGAAGAACTTTATCGAATGTGGCACAGTGTTCAGAATTTGGAAATTCAATTAGACTTGCGAGTGTATTCGATTTGAGAGTTGTGAGAAATTGGTGTTAGTCAAATGACAAGTTCATCTATGGGAAGACCTTCTTCTGTTTTCTATAAGAGGACTTTCTTCTCGTCTTCTATGAGAAGACCTTCTTTTGGTCTGCTATTAGAAGACCTTCTTCTGGTCCTCTATAAGAAGACCTTCTCATGGCTTTCTATAAGAAGACTTCTTCTGGTCTTATATGAAAATACCTTCTTTAGGCTTTCTATTAGAAGACCTTCAGACCTTGTATGAGAAGGCCTTCTTCTAGTCTTCTGTGAGAAGACCTTTTTCTGGTCTTCCATGAGAAGACCTTCTTCTGGTCTTCTATGGAATTTCATCTGGTCTTCTATTAGAAGACTTACTGGTCTTTTATGAGAAGACCTTCTGGTCTGCTATGAGAAAACCTTCTGCACTTCTATGAGAAGATTTTCTGGTCTGCTAGGAAAGACCTATTATTAATTATTAATTCCTCATAACATTTTTGTTGTCGAAATTTTATTAAATTTAAATTTTTTTCTAATTCTGAAATACTGTAAGAAAAGGAGAAGAGGTACTTTGTTGTTGTAAAAGAATACCAAGTACTGTTTCCAATGTGTATTAAAATGTTTTTTATTGTATATATAATAAATATAAAGTAAACTATTTATTTAATGAAATTTAATATTATAACAAAGAAATGCTAAACAAACAATGTAATCAGATCTAAAGCTGCAACAAC